CCTGGTTCATTCAGGCTCAGTTCACCTGAGCCTGAACCCTTGTCAGGGTTCCACGATCTCCTGCCTAAAATAGCCCCATCTTCCATAACTCTCATCTTCTAGCCCTGCTTTTGTTTCCCTGAAGCCTGTGTCACCACCAGACATTCCGCCATACCTGTATCTGTTTATTTACTGTCTGTCCCTCCCAACCAGGTTGTCAGACTTGGGTTTTGTTCCCTGAAGTACCCCAGAGCCTGGCAGGGTGCCTGGCACAGTGCAGGGGCTATGACGACCTGCTGGAGGGATGGATGGATGAAGTGCCCGCCCTTTTTCCCAGCCTCCACGTCTGCCCACAGCCTGTGCCCACAGTGGTCCTGGCACATAGTGGGCCCCCAATAAACAGTGTGTCAGTTGTACTAAGTGTAACAACTTAAAAAGCCCTCAGTGTTCTGACTTCCAGGCACCCAGTGTCGCAGTGGGGAGACACAGGCCCACCCAGAGCAGGGAGGATGTGGCCTCAGGCTTAGGTGGATCAGGGACCAGCCAGGGACGCCTACCTCTTCGCCCCGAAATTGTGACGTTTCATTCAAAGGAGGTATTCCCCTACTAAAAGAGCTTTCTGGTGTATGACTCCAGGTGGACGAAGCTTTAACTAGACTGGGGAGGTGGTGAGCTGCCTGTCGTGAAGGATGCACAAGCAGACCTGGCAGGGGCTGGACCACTGTGCAGTAGAGAATCGGGGCCAAGGCTGGGTCAATGAACTGTGGGGTCTTTTCCTCTTGGTATTAGCACAGATGGGTCTCTGTCAGGGTCTGGCGAGTGTCTGAGGCCAAGCTGGTGCAGGGGTAAGGAACTTGGTCACCTGTACTTCCCCTCTGCCCAGACAAAGTCCCAGGCTACAGATCTGGCCTCTGTCTGCTGGGGAGGGTGGGGGAGAGCCTTGCTGCCCTTTGAGGCACCCAAAGCTTCTCCCTGTGCACCTCCTCGGGACAGGGTGTGACGGTTGCCATGGAGCTGGGGCCTTGTTTGGTGACATGGGGCTGGGTGGGCCTTTGGGAACCTTTAGCTGGCTGCCCTGTGTGATGGGGTGAGTGGGAGCCCCACCCTGTCCCATGAATCACTCCCAAGGTACACAGCAAGGTAGGTTCTTAGGAATACAATATTCCCCAGGGCTTGGCTTGGCCACCCCCCCACCCCGCCCCTCTGGGCATCTTGGGCCCACTCCCTTCATGCTGGGCCTCACTGGAGCTAGAGATGTCTCGACCACAAAGGGATGACACGGCAGGGAAGCTGGCCTCTGCCCAGAAACCACGACATTCTGGTCATCTGCCTGATGCTGTAAAACAAGATGGCACCCACGGGCCACCTGGCCAGATACACAGAGCAAGGAGGTGTCTGCGTTAGCAGTCGAAATAGTGCTTGGGCACAACTGTTGTGCCAGACCCTGGGCTCAGCCCTGGCGATACAGTGGGGGAACTAGAGACCCGATCCCTGCCCTCAGGGAGTTCCAGTTTAATGGAGAAAAGAGACATTTACCAAGTAATGCTATGGCTGATTGGTGACTCATGACCATGAGAGATCATTTATACTGTGGTAGAGTACAGCATGGGGTAAAGTCACAGAGACTAAAATGGCCTGAAACTGATGCCTGAAAAGACAGAGTGATCCAAGAAATGAGTCAGAAAGTCCGGAAGCTGACCTGAACACACACACACACACACACACACACACACACACACACACACAAACGCGTGCCTCAGGCACGGATGTGGCCATGACGCCTGTGGTGTAAGATGCATCCGAGTTCTTTGTTTTCTATATCACAGCACCTCTGGCTGCTGGCGTCCACTCCCTCCAGCTGTGGGCCCAGTGTTGGTCACTTTGCGTGGTGTCTCTCCCCTCCTGAGCGTGTGCTGAAGCCCCAGCGCTGAGCCAGGCGAGTGGAGGCGGGCTCTCTGGCCTCAGTCTGCCCTGGGCCCCGTGTTGCTCTCTTCATTTCTGCCACACAGTGGCGCTGCCAGGGGCTGCTGACTCTGGTGATGCCCAGTTGTCCCCGAGTGCGAGCTGGCCCCCGGCTTGGTGGCCAGGCCCCTGTCCAGGACTGTGGGAGGGAGCGTCTCCCAGCCTGGCCCAGTCTTTGCTTGTCTGCTGCCTGGCTCCCCTGTTGTCACCTGCAGCAGCCCCAGGATGAATGCAGGACTGGTTGGGGTGGGGGATGGGACTCCTGGAGCCCTGTGGGTCTGGGAAAGAGCCCTCATCCCTGAGCCTGGGGCCACAAATTGAGCCAGCTGGTGCCCTGAGCGGGCTGCAGGTGTGGACGTATGGGAGCTTGTCCTGGATCAGGCTGAGAGGGGACACTGAGGACGGCCTACGGCTGGGGTGTATGATAAAAACAGCATTTCAAATCATAGGGAAAGAACGGATTTCTCAGTTTTTTCAGTATTTTGGGTTTTTATGGAGGCTTCATTACGTAGGCATGATAGATTAAACCGTTAGCCTTTGGGGAGTAATTCAACCTCCAGCCCCTCTCCCCTCCCTGGAGGTAGGAGGGATGGGGCTAAAGTTCCAACCCTCTAATCACATGGCTGGTTCCCTTGGCAACCAGCTCTCATCCTGTGGTTATCTAGGAGCTTTCCAAAAATCACCTCATTAACGTAAACTCAGGTGTGGTTGAAAGGGGCTTGTTAGGAAAAACAAAACCACCCATTTCACATATATCACTCGAGTTATTTCAGGGAACAGAAGATGCCCCTTCAGGAGCTCTGTGCTGGGTCCCACAGGTGAAGATTGTAATATATACCACGGCAGCCACAGGTAACTGATAAAGACAGACTCCAAACTGACAAGGGGAGATGCCTGGAGGAGGTGGCGGGAGTGGCATAGAGATGGGCATGAAGAGCAAAAAGGAAAAATAAAAACAGGGCCCTGTGCAGAGCAGCAATGAAGCCACAAACCACGAAGGACATGAAGCATTTGCTCCTGCGGGCCCCAGTTAAACACAGAAAAGGGAGAAGAGGGAGAGTCGTGCCTGGGTCAGAAGACCTGGGCTTGACTTCCGGCTTGGTGACTGACCGCCACGGGGCTGCAGGAAGTCCCTCTCTCTGTGGGGCCCGGTTTTCTCATCTGGATGAGAGAATGCCTGCACTGCCCACTTCTGGGGAGCTGAGCAGCTGATGCGTCGGTGAGCAAGAGCGGGCTTTGAAAAGGATGAAGCAAGCTCTTCCCGTGTTGTCGTGTCTGCTTTCAACTGCCTTTCAAAAGAGAGAGAGAGGGGAAAAAGTCAATACATATTTATGATATATATTATACAAAAATATATTATGTGTAAGTATATCTATTATATATACATATATGTATATATAGATATGTAGAAATATAGACACAGTAACATGGTATAAGATATAGTAAATATATATATTATATATATATATGGGAAGGAGAGGATAGACAGCAAATATAGCAAAATGTTAATACTTGTGGAATCTAGGTGGAGGCTATACATATGGGCATTCATTGTATTATATACTTTTAACTTTTCTGTAGGTGTGACCATTTCTATAATAAAAATCTGCAGAGATAAAGCCTTTCCAGGGCCGGCCCCGTGGCTTAGCGGTTAAGTTCGAGTGCTCCGCAGCTGCTGGCCCGGGTTCAGATCCCGGGTGCGCACCAACGCACCGCTCCAGGCAGGGGAACAGTAAATGCAAAGGCTCAGAGGTGTGAGGGAGCACTGGGTGCTTCAAGAAGGAAGCAGTGGCTCTGTGGCTTAGCGGTTAAGTGCACGCGCTCCGCTACTGGCGGCCCGGGTTCGGATCCGGGCGCGCACCGACGCACCCCTTCTCTAGCCATGCTGAGGCCGCGTCCCACATACAGCAACTAGAAAGATGTGCAACTATGACGTACAACTATCTACTGGGGCTTAGGGGAAAAAAGGGAAAAAAAAAAAGAGGAGGAGGATTGGCAATAGGTGTCAGCTCAGAGCCGGTCTTCCTCAGCAAAAAGAGGAGGATTAGCATGGATGTTAGCTCAGGGCTGATCTTCCTCACAAAAAAAAGAAGGAAGCAGCAAGGAGTCTGATTGGGAGGACTCTGAGCTTTAAGTACCTGGTGGCCCACGATTCCCAACCTTTTCCTGCTTCAGTGCACTTGAGGTTTCCAGTCCTGCTCGTAACACAGGTTCCTTCTAGGAGTGGTTCTAGTGAGTCGGGGTGGAGATCTGAACCTCCCAAGGAACGAAGTTATGTCCCCTTTAGGGAGAACCCCCTCTTCACCCGGGGATGTAGGCCACGGGGGGATGACAATCTGCTGGGTTTTCAGGAGAGACGACACCTGGCCTGATTTGAGTGTTTGGAGGGTGGGTCTGGCCAGGTGCAGAGGCTGGGCTGAGGGGGGCTGGGGCTTAGGGCAGGGAGCCCCAGGGGGGCTGCTCCTCCTGTCTGGGTGAGAGGTGGTCAGGATGTGCTCTGCCCACTCGCCCTGGGCTCCCTCTGGGAACCTTCTGTCCGACGAGGGAGCGCCCTGCCCTGGTAGTGGCCAGAGATGGAGGAAGGAGAGAGGGCAGGCCACTTGGGTAAGGAGAGGTGGGAGGACGATGTTGGGAGCCCCCTCCCAGAGCCAGGCTGCAGGGGGACAGCAGGGCCCTGCAGGGAGTGCCCCCAAGCTTGGCCTTGGTGTGAGCCTCCAATTCCGGGATCTGCCCTGGTGGCTGGGAGATCTTAGACAAGCCCCCTTCCCCGCTCTGTGCTTCATCTAGAAAGTGAGGGCAACTCCCTTCTGCACAGGGGGGCTGTGGGGAGCCCTGGTTGCCAGGCTGGGGACTGGACGAGGAGATTCCACAGAGTGTGGCAGGGATGTCCCTGGGGCTGCCTGGACACTGGGGCTGCCTCCTCCCCCCGCGGCCCCTCCCTGACCAGGCCCTCTTGGAGTTGGGGTGGGGGTGTCCAGGCTTGTCTTGGCGGCAGCAACTGATTGTTCTCTTCAGACCCCTCCCTGGCCATGCCAGATCCATGGGACCAGCAGATTCTGCCCCAAACCTGTCCAACCAGTTGTTTGGGGGGTGGGGGCACCTGGAAGGGGTGGCAGGAGGTGCCAGAAGCAGCCTCCCCCAGCCCAGCACAGACGGCGGAGGTGCTGGGGCTCTGGACACAGCAGACAGACCCTCAGACAGACAGACGGTTGGACACTTGGCCTGGCCATGGGGCTCAGTGGGGGACAGTCTCGGCTGCTGATGCCGCTGTTGCTGCTGCTGACCCGTCTCCAGCCCAGGGCAGGCCTGGGTGAGTGAGGGTAGGGGCAGGGCGGGGGTGCCCACTGCCCCTCAGGCTTCAGGAGGACAGACCCCACCTCCCCCAGCCGCCTCCTGAGCCCCAAGTCTGGGGACTGGGTGCTGGGGGGTCAGGGAGACAGCCCAGCAAAGAGGCCACAAGACAGACACCCAGCCCCACCCCAAGGCGGCAGAGTGGGTAATGCTTCCCCCCTCTTTGGGGTTCTCATCCCCACACATCCTGAGCCCCCACCCCACTTCTCACCCATGGCCCCCTCCTTCCTGTCCCTGCGGAGAGGTGTAGCCGCCTTCCCCGAAAGGAAACTCTCCCTGGGGCTGCGGGCGCGTGCACTCGTGGGGCTCTTAAACGCGGGGGCTTGGAGATGCAGTCCCCGTCTCCGCTGCTCCGCGCCCTTTCCCTCGCTAAGGGAACGTTAAGTGCCTGCTGTGTGCGGTGTGCTCTGAGCCCGAGAGAACCAGGAGCTCTGGAAGGGGAGATCTAGGCCTGAACCCTTGGAGCTGAGCTGAATTAAGTGGAAATGAATCATACTGAACTACTGAGCCGAAAGAGGGAGAAGGTTCTGGAGACTTGCCTGAGAGCCCACCTCATCTCTCTTCTATTCCCTGGTATTGGGGTCTGGAAAGAGGAGGAGCAATGCTCTCAGGGAGCCCAGGGAAGAGTTAGGGGTTCTGAGCTCTCCGAGCAGCAAGGCTGGACACCGGCTGGTTGCCCATCTTGAGCCCCGGCCTGGGGGCCCAGGCCTCTTATCTTCCGCCTGTCCCTGCTCTTCCCCAGGGGAGGCTGTGAGGGGCTGAGGGGGACAGGCTCCGGAAGGGGAGAGTGCCTTGTGGAGGCGGGGAGTGGCACAACACTGGGTGAGGAGAGGATGTCCGAGGCTCTGAGCCAGGACGTGGCCCACATCCAGACCTGGGGTCTTGGCGGGGACCTTCCTGTGTCACCTCCCCACCCTCCACCCCCAAGCCATTCACTCCTCTCATCAAAGGAAACAACCTGGAGTATGTGGGTAGAGCTGGAGGGACTTGAGAGGTAGGTAAACTGAGGCCCAGAGGGTCAGAGCTCAAAGTCACTGGGCTCCATCAAGAGTCTGGCCTGCGGTTCAGGCTCCCCGAAATTAGACTCTCACCCCAAAAAGGCCTAAGACCCCTTCCCCAGGAGAATTGTGCCTGCAGCTGGGGGAAGGGACCTCCTGTTCCAGGCATCTGTCCCCCGGCCCCGGCCCTGCCCATCACAGAGACCCCATTGACTCAGGTGGGGCAGGCTGGATGGGCCACCCCTGACCTCCCATGGTGCCCACCTCTAGTAGGCTCCCAAGGCAGGGGCCAGGGACAGGACTCAGGCTGCCCACCATGCCTCACGGGCACAGGATGGCCAGGGAGCCCTCTTGATGAGTGTCTGCCAAAGCTCCCAGGAAAAGCCCTAACTGCCCCCTCAGCCTGGGGCTCCAGGGCAGGGCTGTGCCTCCCCCCTCACACTGGGGCTCCCAGGGCAGTGCTGTGCCTCCCCCCTCAGACTGGGCTGTGGGGGCTTGGTGGTCCCGTTGAGCCTCTTCTCTCTGCCCCCTACCCGCCCCAGAGCACATCAGCTATGTGCCCCAGCTCTCAAATGCCACTCTGGCGGGGACAGTCACCCAGTCCACCTTCACCCTGGAGCAGCCGCGGGGCCAGTTCAGTCACCTCAACATCTCCGACTTTGACGCCATCTGGCTGGTGGTGGCCCACAGTGATGGTGGGTGCTGCCGGGACAGGCCTTGGCTCTCCCTCTGTGAAATGGGCAGGGGCCTGTAAGGAGCAGCAGGTCTGGGGGGAGAAGGGGGAGATGCTGCTGGGGTGTGGCCGCAGGGCTGTCTGGCCTGGTGGGATGGGGAGAGCCCTGCCCGTGCGGACCCCACCGTCTGACACGCAGTGCCCCACCCTCAGCCACCCAGAACTTCACTGCCCCACAGAGGGTGAAGGACAGCCCGGTCCCCGCCGACGTCCCCCAGGAGGGCTACTACCTCACGCTGACGGCCAACCGGGCACTCTACCCGGGCAGCCAGCCCAGCAACCAGCTCCGGGTCCTCTGCGTCGGCAACAACACACACTGTTCCCCGAGGACGAGGGGCTGCAACCACCCCCTGCCGGGCCCGGGCCCCTACCGGTGAGGCGCTGCCAGGCCTGTGCCCAAACCTGAGCATGAAGCAGCTCCTGCTGGGGGCCTGGGTTCCCCACTCAGTTCTGCCAGTGCGGGGGCAGGGGCAGGGGCAGCAAGGCCTCAGTGAACTCCCCTACTCAAGCCCCAAGCCTCCGGACCCCGCACCTGGAGTCTCCCCATCCAGGCAGGGCGTGCCCCAGGGCAGGACTGTCCGGGCCCTGCCTCCATCCCCTCACTAAGGGCTTGATCACTGATGCTCGGTGCTAGGGGATCTAATCCACTCCACACACATTTCCCAAATGAGGATGCTGAGGCCCAGAAAGGGAGAGGGACACACCCAAGGCCACACAGCTGGGAAGTGTCATGGCTGGGATTGGAGCCCCTTCTGGTGGGCTCTAAGACTGTGCTTTTAAGCCCCAGTCCCCACTCCCCTCACCCTCCAGGCCCTGGCAGTCAAGGGGATAGACTGGCACCAGGGCCAGAGGGTTTCAGCACCCCAGGACCCTCACCTCCAATGCTGGGTTTCCTGTTCAGAGTGAAGTTCCTGGTGATGAGTGACAGGGGACCAGTGGCTGAGACAGAGTGGTCCAGTGAGACCCACCTGCAGCAAGGTATGGGGCCAGATGAGCAGGTCAAACACTAGGGCTGGGGGCCCAGGGGCCTGGGGGGCTCTCGAGGACTGGGGGTGGGCTAGGGGGAATGGGCCAGCCTCCCATCGGTCAGAGTCACCATTACCACCCTGGTGTCTGCAGGTGCCCCTCCCCCAGCCTGGGGTCCCGGCCAGGGTTGGGGGTGGTTGGTCTGGAGGCTGTTCCAGGTCCCCCTTCTCAGGTCAGATCAGATCTCTTTCCTCCCTGCGTGGCCCGCCTGTGGGCCCCTCACTCCCTCAGCCCAGGCCCTCCAGGCTGCCCCAGGGCCCCAGAGCACGGGCACTGTGGTCATCATTACCATCCTGTCAGTCCTGCTGGCCATCCTCCTCACCGCCCTCCTGGCCCTGCTCATCTACACCTGGTAAGAGGACAGGGCCGAGACCGCCTGGGCCCATGGGAGCGGTGGGCCGACCTGGGTCGCCTCTGCCTCCTTCTCCCTCTCTGGGTTCTCCTGCCGGCCCAGGCCCCAGTCCCAGCTCCCCCTTGCTAACCATGCTGGAGGGGTTTTCCCTGAAGGCCAGACAAGGGTAACAACTATTGAGCAAGGGATTCCCAAAGTTCTAGAACCTCTCAGTGGGGGCGTGTGTGCATTAACCCCTCCCTCCGCTGTCCCTCTCTGCCCACCACCTTCCCACCGGATCCACACTTTCCATGCGGGCACCACCGCCCCCTGGTGGCAAAATCTGGAATTACGAGTAGGGGCAGGTGGCAGACACTCCTGGTGGGAGACGCCCAGGTGGAGGTGCACTACTTTTAGTCTAAGTGCTGAGCTTGGCCTCAAGACTTCATTCAGGGCTCGGGTGCTGGGGCCTGGTGGAGAGGGGATGTCCACAAGGCTTCCTGGAGGAAAGGAGAAACCTGGTCCCGGGGTAGGATTTGTGGCGGGGAGGAGAGCAGTTCCAGGACAGAGATGGGGAGGGCCTGGGGCAGGAGGGTTGCGGGCAGCCAAGCAAGGCCCAGGCCTTAATTCCCAGCTGAGGAAATGGGCTGTATCAGGAAGGCCAGACGGAGCCAGTGGTGGGTTTTGATCAGGAGAGACAGGCAGATGGTGTTTCAGAGGCATCCTTGGGGCTGGGTGCTAACAACGGGCAGGGAAGAGGGAGCTGGGTTTGTGAGGTTTAGAGGAATAGCCTGGTGCCCTCCAGCAGAGCCTCAGTTTCCCCAGTGCTCCTGTGCCTAGAGCGTTCATCATTCTCTCTCCCTCTCTCCTCCCCTCCCCGCAAGCTACAACACCTGTGGGAGCACGCCCATTTCGGGCCCAGGGGAGTCAGTGGGTGTGAGAAGATATAACACCCACCACACGTTCAGCCCTCGAGTCGTGGGGGGCTCCAGGGGACCCCCATGTGCCCCTCAGCTTCCCCCCTGGTCCAGGCTGCAGAGCCTGGGCTGGGGGCATGCCCTGCAACTTTTGGATGGAACCCTGGGAGAGATTGTTTCTAAATGAGGATGGGTGGGCCGGCCCCGTGGCTTAGCGGTTAAGTGCGTGCACTCCGCTGCTGGCAGCCCGGGTTCGGATCCTGGGTGCGCACCGATGCGCCACTTCTCCAGCCATGCTGAGGCCGCGTCCCACATACAGCAACTAGAAGGATGTGCAACTATGACTTACAACTATCTACTGGGGCTTTGGGGGAAAAATAAAATAAAATAAAATAAAAAAAACTGAGGGTGGGGGGAGGATGTCCTTAGCCCAAAGCTTGGGCCTGTCCCCATCATAAATAAATGTCCCCAACACCTGCCTGTGTGTCTGTGTCATTGTACACCTGGGCAGTCTCCCTGCACCCTGTCCCCTCTGGGGGCGGGGGGATTCTCAGGAGGACACAGCACTGCGGGTGGGGAGCAGGGTCCCAGCCAGCTGAGCCATCTGGGGCAGGGCAAGCTCTCCTCGAGCCTCAATGTCCCTCTCTGTAAAATGAGGTTGATAACACCGGCCCTGCTGGGCCGCGCTGAGGCTAAACCAAGGAAGGGAACTGCATGTCGGGCACTTGTTGCCCCCTCACCCCCCAGCATCCTCCTTGTGGCCCCCCTCTCCAGCTGGCCTCGCCTCCTGGCTGGAGGACTTAGAGCCGTCGCCTCTCCTCCCTCCAATGCCTCCTGGAGTGCACAAGAGTGCAGCTTCTAAGCTTCACACGCCCCTGTGCCCACTCTGGACGTGGGGGCAGGAAGTGCGTGTGGAGCAGCAGCAGCTGGAGAAGTCTGTGCACAGCTCAGCGCAGACTCAGCCCTAAACCCAATCCTGAGCGCCTAGCATCTGTCATTACCAGCCCTCGGGCCGGGCCTCGAGGGGCCAGAGATGACCAGGCAGGGTTCCATCCTCAAGTTGCCTGCCACTGTAAGGGGAGGAGAGGGATACCACCGCGCACGAGGGATGGAGGGGGTGCAGGCGTCGGAGGTTCCTGGGCAGGTGTGGCCTTGGAGAAGGAGCAGCACTGTGGCAGGTGGACACGGGAAGGGTGCCCCGGCGGGAGCAAGAGCATGTGCAAAGGCCTGGAAGCGCTTGGGCACTGGTGGCAGGTTGGGGGCAGCTAGAGGGTGGGGTGAGGGATGGCGGGGAGGCCAGGAGGTGCCCCATCCACGTGGAGGGCCTTGCCCTCCTGGGCAGAGGGTCGGGAAAGGAGGGTGCTGGCTGGGTTCCCAGGTGCCTGTCTCTGGGAGGTGCAAATGGCCCTAATTGGTTTGTTTTCTGGTACAGAGCATCCTGCTCCTGCTCTGGAGGAAATGCTCACATGACCACGGGGGAGCCAGGCCGGGAGGGTCAGGGAGGGAGGGGGGCAAACAGACTCCCAGCTTCTGCCCACATAAGCCTTGGCCTCTTTCATGGCAGCCATGAGCCCTGACCCTGGGGCTGGACAGACCCCTTACCCTCTCTGGGCCTCAGTTTCCCCTTATGTAAAAAGCAAGTGTTGAACTGGGTGACTCTAAGGCCCTGCACTCCACAAAGCAACACCCTGTATGACAGGAAATAGATGGCTGTCTTTTTTTGTGTGTGTGTGAGGAAGATCGGCCCTGAGCTAACATCTGCCAATCCTCCTCTTTTTGCTGAGGAAGACTGGCCCTGGGCTAACATCCATGCCCATCTTCCTCTACTTTATATGGGACGCTGCCACAGCATGGCCTGACAAGCGGTGCCTCCGAGCATCGCCCGGGATCTGAACCCGGGCCGCCAGCAGCAGAGCTCGCGCACTTAACCACTACGCCACGGGGCCAGCCCCTAGATGGCTGTCTAGCAGGGCAACTGAGAGAGTTTACAAAGGTGTGGGCAGCGTGTTAAGGGGACCAGTAGGAGAGGGTGGCCCAGGGCACTGATGGGCCATAAGCACTCCTGTACCGGAAGGGCTGACGAGAGGCGGTGGCGTTTCCGGTGCCAGTGAACAGGAGCCACGGCCAAGGGTCCTGCTCAGCAGGAGCAGGGGCTGTGGGTAGAGGGACGCAGCCACTGGAGGGAGGTCCTATGGATGGACTGAGGGGGTCCTATGACCTGTTGTTTACTCACAGCACTCTGACACCAAACATGTGGGTTTTTCTCATACCAACCAATTCTCCAACTCTCCAGACACCAGCTGGGTGTCTACAATTTAATTCAATTCTGACACTAACTACGTAGAGTCAGTGCAGACCCCGCTGGTAAAGGGCTCCGTCCCACAACACTGCCCCCACGTCAGATGCCAGTCACAAGCACTGGGGGCCCAGGGTACCCACACTTCTGTCCAACTTGGCTACAAACCGGGGATTCCCATGACCCCCTCCTCAGGTTTGATAATTTGCTAGAATGGCTCACAGAACTCAGGCAAAGAGTTTACTTAACTATTACCCGATTATTTTAAAGGCTATAACTCATGAACAGCAAATAGAAGAGCTGCACAGGGCAGGGTGTCGGGGAGGGGGCATGGAGCCCCTATGCCCTCTCTGGGTGCCCCGCACTCCCACCACCTCCATATGTTCTCCAACCAGGAAGCTCTCCATACCCCATTGTCTAGGATCTTTATGGTGGTTCTATTACAGAGGCCTGCTGATTAAATCGTTGGCCACCGGTGACTGAGCTCAATCTCCAGCCCCTCTCCCCTCCCTGGAGGTTGGGGGGTGAGGATGGTGCTGAAAGTCCCAACCCTCTAATCACGTGGTCTTTCCTCTGGTGACCAACCCCTGAAGGAAGCATCTGGGGGGGCCCCACCAAGAGTTGCCTCATTAGCATAAACTCAGGTATGATTGAAAGGGGTTCGTTATAGATAACAAAAGATGCTCCTCTCACCCCTAGCACTCAGAATATTCTGAGGGTTTGAGGAGATCTGTGGCAGGAACCACGACAAAGACCAAATATATATTTCTTATTATATCACAGTGTCACAGAGGGGCACAGGCCGCCTTTGTGCCGATCCTGTGGACTCAGACCCTTCCCCACCCTGGCCGTCTTCAGACTGGAGAGAGGGGCAGACGGATGACCACAGAGTCCTGTCCCAGACATAGGGCTACCTGAGGCTGGGATGGGAGTGTGCAGAGGGGACTCTGCAGGAGCTGATCCTTGAGTCTTGGAGGACAGGGGGCTTTGCCGGCTGGAGCTGCTGGGGCCCCTGAATGGCCCCTTCACCACTTTCCTGCCTCTTCCTTGAGGATACCTCCTCCCTGAAGCCCTCCTGGGTGGAACCTACCTACACGCTTCAGGCGGGAGGTGGTGAGTGTGGGGGTCCTCCTTGCTCCTCAAGTCCCTTTGGAGTAAGTGCCCTGTGCAGCACAGCTCCCCCTCCCCCGCCTCCTCCGCCCCCTGTCACTGGTCGTTGCTCATATTCTGGACCGGCACTGCATCCTTGAGAAACATTGCCCTCCTGTTCATAGCTGACCACCCTCCAGCCCTGTCTCATCCTGGGCAACTTAGCTCACCTCTGGACCCTCCTCATCAACTTCCCCTTCCCTCGGCATTCACCCCCTCCACCGCCTCAGCCAGGCCCTGTGTGCATTAATGACCCCCAGTCTCTCCCCTCAGCTGCTTCTCATATGTCCTCGGTCCCCTGGCTGCCTCTGACTGGATGTCCCAGAGGCACCTCATGCCACCACATCACCTCCACAGCCAAACCCAGAGCTGCCCCCAGCCCCACGCCTCCTTCTAGTTCCCCAGTCCTCTGATCAACCTTTCTCCCTGACCACAGGCCCCCACTGGACATGCACCACTTTCCACGACAGACACAGCCTGGCCACGAAGCTTAAGCCACCTCCTTGGGACCTGCCCAGTGCTGAGCTCAGAGCCCAACCTCAGCGGCTAGTGGCGAGCCCAGCACAGACTGGGTGGGAATCTCCCCCACTCCCACTGGAAGCTCAGCCATGTCTGAGTTTGCTTCCCTGGGCCCTTCTGGGGCCTGGGCGTCCAGGACTGGCCGGAAGGGAAGGCCCGAGTCAGAGTGTCCGGCCCCATAAAGTCGCTGACCATGTTCCCTGTGGAGCAGAGAGGGAGCCTCAGCTCCTCAGCTCCACGGCCGTCCCGTGGGACCGGCTCACAGGGACAGCCACATGGGGCAGCACCACACAGTGGCCGGGGCCCTGCGAGGGTCCACGTCTCTGCCCCAGCCCTGGCACCCTGCCTGACCCTCCTGGGCCTTCTCATCCATGAAGAAGATGGAAGAGACGAGCAGTAAGCTCCCGTCCAGCTGTGGCCCTAGGATCGCTGAGTCTCTCCCCATCCGTTCATTCGCTCATCCGTTCATTCCCACACTCAGCAGACAGTCATGGACTTCGGCTTTGCTGGGCGCTGAGACATGTCATCCTGGCCCTCAAGACCAGCCCCGGCTCAGTGGGGACTATACACACACAGAGATAACAAGGGGACCCTCTAGGGATGGAGAAGCACACTCTGCGGGCATTGCAGGGGCTGCAGGGGCTGGTGGGGTGACCCTGACCACAGGGTGAGGCCGCACCAGCCCACTCAGCACTCCAGCTCTTGGGGCACAAACCTGGGGAAAATAGACATGGGGACAATGACCTCGACACGTGGGCCACGCGTCTCCTGACATCTGCCTGATAATGGACAAACGGATGGGGGAAGGACCTGCTCCTGTCTTTCTGGCTCTCTCTCTCTCTGTCCCCCTCCGTTGTGTTACTCTGCCTGTTCCTCGCTCTATTTCGTCTCTATTTTTGACAGTGACAAGCCATGGGAACTCGTCTCCCTTCCTAGGGGGAAGCCGTCCGAGCTGGCCCAGAGATGGGCACGACCATTTCCTAATAAACACCAGATACAATCAGAAGCTGGCTTCTGTTCCAGGTTTGGGCTCAGCAAGGGAAAGGGGCAAAACAGAAGCAGATAGGAGAAGGGAGAAAGAGAATGTGTGTCAGGGACGTGGACAGTTCACAGCCCATCGCCCCAACTGGCAGGTACAGAGGGTCACCATGGCCCCCCCTCCTGCTGGCCCTGCCCCCAATACCCTTTGCGGCCTCCAGTCTCACCATCTCCATGTCCTGGTC